TGTCCAATCAGGAAGCTTTAGGATGCTTTAGATGTTATCCTCATTGTGTGGCCATTTCAGAAGAGAGGTGGAGAGGAATGCAAAAAAATAGAATATTCTGTCCAGTGAAAATTAAATAAACGAGGTTCCTGCTAGGATGCTAAATCAGTTATGGCCAGTGGAGTGCCTTCATTCCCCAGTCCTCTACAATCCATTTTAGAGAAGGTAGATCCACCTATTTTTAGTGGCTGATTCAGGGAAGTGGTCTTGGCTAGCACCTCACAGACATATCTGAGTGTTAGTGCTCCAGGTCTCTGTTTTGAAACTTGATACACTTGACAAAATATCATATTTCTAAAGTAGTTCAGGAGGGAATGCTGGCTTGTTAAGTAGTGCTGCAGGAAGGATGCAAAAGTGCTGATAAGCCGATGTAGGATCTTGTGAAAACTGTAGGGAGGATGCTTTACTCATGAATTTTCTCATTGAAACTGGACTGTATAATAAGATTACTTTGCAATCCAAACTAAACTTCTGGTTTAAAGTCAAAGATAAGGAAGACTCCATGGGAAATTTTAAGTGCTTGCCTGCATAAATATTTGAAGAAAGCATCATTTACTTTCTTTAAAAAATCCTCCCATCATATTATGAACAGTTTGGGGAAACATGCTGATACTTACCTTCAGATGCACATTGAAGAACCTTTTTACTTGAGCTGAAAGAACTTTGTTTTTCTTGGATGGACCTACAAAAATGGGAGATGAAATGTCCAGCTTCATTTTTGATCAACTCATTTATTAAACTTAATAAGTAATTAAACTTAAATCCAGCTAGTGGGTTTATTAATACAAAAGTATATATGGTCCCTATCTAATTCTGTGCTGAATCCTGTGAAAGCAATGATGCATCAGATGTATCAAGAATATTATATTCTCATTAAAATGTACATACTTCCCTGTGTGCTCATTTAACAGGAATATGAAATAAAATAAAGTTCTAAATAAGACCCTTAATTAAACCTGGCTTACTTTTTTCACAGGTGAAAAATTGTGGCAGCAATACCACAGAGGAGAGTATGTTAAATTTAAAATAGTCTATGTAGTTTAAACCAGTTGAGAAACTCTTCTATAAAAATAGGTTTCTTTCATATCTCCTATGTTCTTGGTGTATTGGTTAAGATAGTTGCCAGGATATAGATCAGTGTGGCAAAGTCATACTTGATGTTTTCATAGTCAAAAGCCAGTTGAACATACTTTCAGTATTTTGGCTCTTATTTGAAGCTGTCTGTCTGAGGTGGCTGTAAATTAGAACTTCTGTTACAGAGTAATAACAGGTCACCTAGCTCTCCCTGCTGCTGTAAAGTAGGGCCAATTATATCTAAATATTTCTTTTAGAAATGAGCGTAACCTGTTCTTAGAAGCATCAGTCTCCTAAAGCAAAGCATACCTGCAGTAATAAAGGACAATTTTTAATCTGAAGAAATGTCTTACGGTGCATCGTTTCAATAGCACCAATGTTTCACATCACAGCATTTTGCTTTAGAATGGAATATTTCCTACTGGAAGGAACCTACAATGGTCATCTAGTCCAACTGCCAGCTGCGTAACTTGGGTTAAGCTTTGTCCCAATCTTTTTGATGGTCAATGAGTGAGGATTTCGATTCCTTAATTCTCATCAGTATTAGCAGAAATCTCAGGTATTTAAAATCCTCATGTATCAATGGGAGGCCTGGCTGCACTGATCATCAGTACATCAAGTGCAGGCAGTGCAGTGCTCTTGAGGGTGAACAACTGTACACATCCTAACATTTTAATTTGACTTGTAACATCAATATCTTCAGTTGCTTTATTTTGAAGATTATTCAAACAGTAACTCACCTTTCCCCACTGGCATCCTCTTGCTGGGTTAAGGCCTTTGTTGAAACACTGGTGTGTTCCTTTGAGGGTATTTATTTCTTTCAAGGTTGCCTGTCTTCTAATTTAGTGCATGCGTGTGGATGAAGATTCATCATTGTTTTCAGTGAGGCAGAGTAAGTAGTCTTTGATATAATTTAACAAACACACATGGATGAGATTGTTCTGGGAAAAGCCTGTTCTGACAGCAGCTTGTTTTGAAATAACATGGATAAAAAATCAGAAACTGTTCTGCATTTATTGGAGAAATACCCTGCACTTCGGTCACAACAACCCCAGGCAATGCTACAGGCTTGGGGAGGAGCGGCTGGAAAGCTGCCTGGCAGAAAAAGACCTTGAGGTGCTGGTGGACAGCGGGCTGAACATGAGCCAACAGTGTGCCCAGGTGGCCAAAAAGGCCAATGGCATCCTGGCCTGTATAAAAAATAATGTGGCCAGCAGAACTAGGGAGATGATCGTGCCCCTGTACTCAGCACTGGTGAGGCTACAGCTTGAGTATTGTGTTTAGTTTTGGGCACCACAGTGTAAGAGGGACATTGAGGTTCTGGAGAGGGTCCAGAGAAGGGCAACAAAGCTGGTGAAGAGTCTGGGGAACATGTCTTATGAGGAGCGGCTGAGGGAACTGGGATTGTTTAGTCTGGAGCAGAGGAGGCAGAGGGGAGACCTTATTGCTCTCTACAACTACTTGAAAGGAGGTTGTAGTGAGGTGGGTATTGATCTTTTCTCCCAGGTCTAGCGATAAGATGAGGGGAAATGGGCTCAAGTTGTGCCAGAGGAGGTTTAGATCGGATATTTGGAAGAATTTATTTCATGAAAGAGTGGTGAGTCATTGGAACTGGCTGCTCAGGGAAGTGGTGGAGTCACCATCCGTGGAGGTGTTCAAAAAACCATGCAGATATGGCACTTGGGGACATGGTTTAATGATCATGGTAGTGTTGGGTGATGGTTGGACCTGATTATCTTAGAGGTCTTTTCCAACCTTTACAATTCTATGATCTTTTTCTAGCTGATGAACCCATGCTTTAAAAGCAAATGGTAACACTTTTCCAAAAGCACAGGTTCATGGATGCAAAGTTCCAGTTAGAAATTGGGACTTTTCCCTTCTTAACAAATGACTTCTTAACACTTGACTTGTTAGGCTCAAGTCATTAGCCTCACTCTCTTCTTGCAAAAGAGTTAGAGAGCTGTTAGATGGAGTACCTACACTGGTTTTTCAATACCTAACTGCTGCTTAAAGTCTACTCTGAAAGACCTCTGTGGTACTGCTTGCAGTTGTTCCTTCTGCATCAGCTTTGTAAGAAGAACCTTTCTGTTATACACCAATTACTCAACTAGCTGTTTTAGTAGTCTTCCTACATACTAATTTATATCGTATAATATACTTTAGGATCAACATTTCTACATATACCTAGGGTAGTTATTACTAATACCTAGGGTAGTTATTACTAATAGCAGAAAATGGAAGAGTTTAACACAGTTCTTCTTAGGAAAACAGTTACCTTTCATTTTAGAGATAAGTATGCCAAGAATAGTAATCTATCAAGCAGTTTAAGTGGCACAATATTTATACGAACATTTTATGTTCCCTACCCTGAACTTCCCATCTTGTTCTTAAATCAGTACAACACATTTTCCTTTGATGACACAATCAAACAGGCCTTGATTTTACTGTAAAGCTGTTATTAACACTTTGCCAGAAATATAATTTGAATAAGAAACAACATTTCTGCTTGCAGAGAAGAAAAGAAAAGAAAAGAAAACCCACAAAAGCTGTTTTAACTCTACCAACTCTTGACTTCCTTCCTCTTGACTTATTGTTTGTGGGATATCACTGTCAGGCATCTCTTGCCACTGAAAGCCTCACCCAGCCTAGTCTGGTCTATGCCAGTCATAGTAAGGTGGGTAGCTGTTTCAAAAAATTGTAGCATGCTATTTCTGTCTTAGGAATTCTGCTCTCTTCTTACCATGTGAGCCTCAGATCCTGAGACTATTTTGCTGAGTGATCTCAGTCGTGCAAAATCAGCCCTCGGATTTGCAGATTTTGTGTTGATTCACATTAGACACAGTAGGTATTCGTACTAAGTAGTGTAAATACATTGAATTCCATGGAATCGTGGAAGTTTTGTTACAGTGGTTTACATCAGCTAAGCCACTTCTGGGAATACTAAAATTTCTGTAGTTAAGTAAGGAGATGTTGTGACTCAAGCTTAAGATATTTACCTGTAAAAGAATGGAGGTTCTAATCACACAACCTCTCTATTTTCCATTTTTTTATGAGTATTTTTCTGATATTTCTGGATGAAACTTACTGTATCTATTAGATTAATCCTTTCCTTTTTGGAGATTTAGACAATGGAATAACTGATCTCTTTTACATAAGAAAGAAGTGTGACTGACTTCTAATACTGTCACTTTTCTCCCTATTATCACTTCAAGTTCTTAGAATTTAAGTGGAATGTATATGGAGGTGAGATAAAGTATCTTAAATTTTGATGTCACTCTAGCCTGTCTGGTAAGTGTTGGGAACAATAATGACCCTTTGATGGACAAACAGAGCAGCTGTGCCACGGGGTGTTGCAAAACTGCAATACACACAAAGGGGATGAACCACAGAGGCTTTTCCTCTGATCCTGGATAATTTCCAACCTATTATCTGGAGCCTCCAAGTCACATATGAAAAGCTATACTAAATGTGATGTTAACTGTAAGTGGAAAGAAACTATAGATTTATGTAGTTTATTGGTTAGCAAGTAAGCTAATGTTTTAAGGACATAAATCACTACCAGAGTCCTTCACCAAATACCACCTCATGTAATTTATATTCTAACTCGTCAAAATTTTCATGTTCTTATTGGATAAATGGTTTTCTGCATGCAACTGACCTATCTAGTTCTAGAGGTAATGGGTGAAGCAAACCCTTGAGGTGGCTTGTGCATGAATGGACAAACTATACATGAAGCCTTCCAGATGAGAAGAATTGCATCTATGTGAATAAAATGGTTTACATGAGAGTATTGAAAATACTATTTAGGAAAAATGTATCTGAAGATCAACATCATATTCTTAGGGATTTGATTTTGAATAATATTTTTTTTTTACTTTGTGTTTCAGTGGCTGTTCCATCACCAGTGCCAGCTTGTGAACCCGAGCCTAAAACTAACGAGCATTATCCAGCTCCACGACTCTCCATTTCCTCCCGAGCCACTGTTGTTGCTACCATGGAAACCCCTTCTCAAGGCCTGCAGACGGTTATGAAGTGGAAAACAGTGGTGGCCATCTTTGTTGTAGTAGTAGTTTACCTGGTGACAGGAGGATTGGTCTTCCGTGCCCTGGAGCAGCCCTTTGAAAGCAGGCAGAAGAACACGATTGCACTAGAGAAGGCTGATTTTCTGCGAGAGCACGTTTGTGTAACCCAGCTGGAGCTGGAGACGTTGATTCAGGTAGGCCATGTGAAGAAGGCAGGAGTTCTTGGAAGTTAGGATAGACAGCTTGGTGGTTTGTTAATCAGCTGAGTCAGTGGGGAACAAAATTGTTCACATAGACCTCCCAGCGGGCAGTGTCAAGAGCAGGCTCTTTTCCAGTAATTTTTAAGTTGGGGAAACAAACCCTGTCTCCAAAACATTGTAATTAGAGGTTAAATGTATTCACCAGAGTAAGGAAAATGTGTTCAAAGCGAATCAGATCTTGCTATCTGGAATAAATTTCCGTGAGAGCTGACAGATTTGCAATATACTTGCCCATCGTCTCTGTAAATGTTATAAAATTCTTAATTCTTTTTCCAAAATTAAACACAGCAATGAGGACAGCAAACAGAAAACTATGGGTGGGAATTTTGAAATAAATATTCAGCCAAGAATTCTGAACTTCCTGGTATATTAATTGGCAGTTTTACTATTGTGAATTTTAGGTAAATGAATGATGATGAAGTATACAATTAAGACCAGAAGATAATTGTCATTTAAGTAGTACAGAATTTTTAGTCTCACCTAGTATACAAAGCCTTGGAATACATTTTGAAGGAAGTAAATATCAAATATGTAGAGGTAAGTAGAAAATAGATTAACATGCAAAAATACTTTTATCAAGAGTAGAGCTAGCTTTCATTGATTAAAACTCTAAACAAGGAAAGTATTATGGAAAGTCACAAGATTTCAGTAGAGTATCTTCTAAGATCCCATGTAGAAACCTATCAGTTAGCCTGGAGAAAGTAGGGATTAGATAAGAAATGAGAGATACCTAAGGAATATATTCCAAAGTTGAACTTCATCCTCATATTTCAGACCTGAATTTGTGTCTGAGCTTTCCTAGAGCACAGTGCGTTTCCCCCTGGGGTGTCACACCAGAGCTCTGTTGTGATTTCAGGCTGTTTGAAAAAACACTGTGCTATCTCCTGGATTCTTGTGTCCATCCACCCAACTGTGTCATAAAACCTTTTCTATAAGTGAAACATATTTGTAATCTTAGTATTCCTTTTAAGAAGCTGTTTCAGCATCTTGTTCCTGTGATGGAAAAAGCATTCTTCTACTTTTCAGCCTAAGCTTCTCCAGTTTTCCTGTAGCTGGTCTTCTATAGGCAATGTTCCATTGCACAGTTGATTCATCTCTCTTGCCCACATGTGTAGACAGCAAAGCTGTTCTACCTTTCCTAAACAAAACAAATTCTTTCTGTTTCTTTACAGATAGATGTGGGCTGCCCTTGCTTGTGCTTCTATGTTCACAGCAGACAGGTCAGTTCTGAGTCACAAGCTGTGTACCTGTACATTTGGGCAGCCTGGTACTGTAGCTAAGGCCAAACCAGCTTCAGAAGGAAGCAATATTGTGCTGATGTGACATTACATTTTTTTGGATCAGGGCTGGTTTGGATCACATCTTTCATCTGTCTGCAAAAGACAGGTGAACATTTTTGTTTGGCAGGTTGAATTCTGTTCAGGAATATTGATTCAGATATGTTAACACAAGCCAGCAATGTGTCCTTATGGTTAAGAAGGCAAATGGTACCCTGTTGTGAAGAAGAGTGTGGCCAGCAGGTTGAGAGATTCTTCTCTCCCTCTGCTCTGCCCTCGTGAGTCCACATCTGGAGTACTGAGTCCAGTTCTGGGATCCCCAGTTCAAGAAAGACAAGGAACTACTGGAGAGAGGTCAGTGGAGAGCTATGAAGAAGAAGGGAACTGGACACCTGTCCTCCAAGGAAAAGCTGAGAGACCTGGGTCTACTATGTCTGAAAAAGCGAAGATTGAGAGGGTATCTTATCAATGCTTATCAATATCTAAAGGGCAGGTGTCAAAAGGATGTGGCCAGGCTCTTCTCAGCAGTGCCCAGCAGCAGGACAAGGAACAATGAGCTCAGACTGGAACACAGGAGATTCCATCTGAACCTCAGGAAAAACTTTCCTTTGAGGGTGAGAGCACTGGGACAGGTTTCTCAGAGAGGTTGTGGAGTCTCCATCTCTGGACAGATTCAAAACCCACCCGGATGTGTTCCTGTGCAACCTGCTCTAGGTGAACCTGCTTTAGCAGGGGAGTTGGAATAGATGATCTCCAGAGGTCCCTTCCAACCCCTACTGTTCTCTGATTCTCATGGCAGTGTTGCAGGGATCCTTATTTCCTTGAACTCCCTAGGTATAATGTGTGCTGTCTGATTAAAGGATTTAAAAAAACCCAACCAAACAAAACTAAATGCAAGAACTTTGTATTCTCTTGATGGGTATGTTGCTATTAAAAGATATGGGTTCTGCTTTCTGCTAAAAAAGAAAGCATTTTTTGTAATAGCTACAACAAGCAAAGCACCTCAACAGAATGGTAGGCTCCTGCATACTGACTGCAGCACAAAGATTTCTAAATAGCCCCTATTGTCTAAGCCTAAGCTATGTATCCGTTTTAATTATTCATTTTACACAACATTTTTTCTTCTTTTAGTTCAAAAGTCATGACACTAAAATAAAAAACAGGCATACTGTGTCAGTAGAAGGCAGATATTCTGAACAAACCTTATCACCTCCTGAGATTTCAGTGTGTCCTCAGGCATTACACTGGGTAACTGGAAATCATTTTGCAAACGTAAATTAAATGGACTTAGCAGCTTAGCATGTGAATGTCTTAAGGCCAAGTGATGTGAAATACTGAAGCAGATTTGTCAATAAAGAACAAGTTCCTTTGGATTCTTCTCTATGTCTGGGGATGAAACTGGCTCCAGGGATGTATGTAGTTGGGTGTGTTGATACAGAAAACTGATTGTAACTGACTTGCACAGAATAACACTGAACCACTGTTTGAAGATAATGTCAGGAGGTTAATGTTGTGCTTTCATGCCTTTAAGTCGATGATCTCAAAGATGACATCCCCCTGGCTGGCACAATGTGCTTCAGCATTGCACCAAATGCTGCATCTGCCTTTACAGCTGTGCTGTCTGACTGATGTGGCAGCCTCCATGGGTCCTGGCTGCTGTGCTGTGTGCAGTCAGCACCTAGCTACCACTGACGGAGCCATTTATAATGAATGTTATTTGACTACCTGAAAGTCTTTAGGTGAAAACAGATCATACTTTCCAGAATGACTCTGTTGATTCACCTCTCAGCTTTGGAGAATATGGAAAAAATACAAAAAGAAATCCTTCTACTACGGGAGTGGCTCTGGAATAATCTTTTGGGGAGAAGAGGAGAAGACTGTCATGGTTTTTACAAGGCTAACATTGGAAAAAATATATCCCTGTGCCTAAGTTTCAATCATTCAAAGGATTCTCCTTTGGAAAACCTATAAGGAAGATGTACAGCACTGTAAGAGGAAGCTGTTAGAATTTAGTATGGAGGAGACATCCTTTCCAACTTGTTTTCCAATAACCCACTGCAAATATTAGCACTGGTAGCACAAATGTGAACTGCTGAGTCCCGAGTGTGACATTCACTCATAGACTTCAGAAGTAATATAGTGATGAAAGCAGTGCAAATCCCTAGGAAGATTGGAAGTATTTTACATTTCCATTTAGCTCTTGGGTTTTGGTTCCAGTCTATCTAATAGTAACACAACGACAGATAATTTGTTACTAACAATAGCGAGTATTTCACAGTCTGGTCTATATTGTCTAAAGCCACCTTAAGTGACATTTAAGAACTGTACATTTTTTAGGTCTGTTTCTGCTTCTAAAGACATTTGTTGGAGTGAAGCCAGTTCATTATTTAATATCTTATGTGATTTCCAACTTGGTACAATGGTGACTATCAGAATAAGAAAATACAAAGTCATGTGCTCTATCTTGACACTTTGGAGTTTTCAGAGTTAGAGAGAAGTGAAATCTCAGATAGGCTATAAGAAAATGAAACTTAATGTGCTTCAGGTGCGTGTAGCTCTATTGTACCCATTTGAACAAATAGCAGAAGACAGCAGGACTCATGGTACTGGGCATACAGTCAAAAAGAAAAATAACACTGGTAGTTACTTCTACTAACACGTTATAAAACTTTTTTCGTTATTGTTCTTATATGTCATAGTATAAGCATATTAGTAGCTAGGGTAAAAAAGAAATCATCTTGCGTCTGTGATAACATACGTACGCTTAGAGTGTATAATGGAGAGGTTATGCCTCTTAGAAAAGGCAGGCAGGAAGAAAATCAATGTGTTTTGGTGAAGTATTTCCTTTAGACCTGATAAGGGTATTCATATTCTGTTTCTGTGTAGCCTGGGCACCATGTATGAGTAAAAACTTTTGTAATAAGCCTTGTTTCATAATGACCCCTGCACAATGAAGTAAGATAGAGTGGCTTGTGACTGTAAAAAGGTCCTTAGGTTATTGGTGGGCTGCTTTCTTCCTCCTTTTCCTTCAGGGTTCAATTTAGGAGTGTGAGTGATTATAGTGTATTGAAAAAAATCACCCACCTGGGAGCTAAGTCATATTATTAGCGTCCACTAATGACTACAGCAACTCATTAGTTAGACTGTATGCTGAAAAGGAAGCAGAGCTGGAAACAAGCTAGTCAGACTGTACTGGCTAATTATTTTATAAAGGTTCAGATTTTGGAACTTCTGATTAGTGTTCTGAACTGCTTTTGCCCTGAAGGTAAGCAAGAAAGGGAACATCCTGTAAGGATGTTTCTGTTTTCAGCTGCTTGACCGTTTCACTAGTGTCATAAGTCAGCTTGTCTTTTCAGGGTGTGGCTTTCATGTGCTAGAAGAAAGCTCTAGATGGAGCAGAAAAAAGAAGTATTTTGAGCTAACTATGGGGATAACTTGCCTGTTTCTAAAGAAAAGAAAAGAATATTTGAACTGTGAAGAAAAACAATGGTAAATATCTGACTATTGAACATTCTGTCTGTGCCTCTCGAGGTTGACTTCTATATGTTCCAACTTCCCATCTGCCCTTGATCTTTATTTAACTTATTCCCCCTAAAATGATATTAAAAGAGAATTCATATCATCTAGATCCTGTCTAAGGTGATGCAGGCACCCCAGTTTGTAACTCCAGTCCAGAGATACTCCAGTTGTGTGGGAGACAGACTGAGCCTAGGATGCTACAGCTGGTCTGTAGCTATGTTGCTTCCAGATCTAAGCTAAGAAGTTCACAGGGAACTAAGCCCTTTGGACTGTGCATGTCCCTTGTTGAATGCTGTAGGTCTGTCCTCAGACACAGTGCATGCATGACAACTGAATCACTGTAAGTGTAGGTAGATCACTGTCTGGCTGATTGTCACTGAAAGACCTTTATGGGATTGGCAGAAAGATTTAAGGGATGGGTTTTCAAAGCTTACTACTTTTGATTATACCTGAAAAATAATTGCTAGCCTTGGTCCTTCAAAAATGCTGTTGTGGAAGAATGAATAAATGGGAATTTATTATAAGGATCTCTTAATCCCCTTATGAGGGGTAGTGAGAATAAGCAGAGACATAAGAAGTACAGAGGAAAGGAATTATTAAGGAATTAGTCTTTAAAAGCTGCTTGATCATGAGAAGCGTCCTAACAATCATAACAGAGAAACATCAGAGCATTGAAGGCAATTGAAACAACTTTCTGTGTGCTTGATAGGAATCTGCTTCAAAAATAGCTATAGAGGGAGATAATCATTATTGGTTTAGCATGATCTGTGGAGAGGAATTAATGGAAGTAGAAAAAAGATTACATGAATTTTTGTTTCTTGTAAAATTCCTAACCTTGGTTGCACATAGTGTACATCCTATGACTAGCTCAGCACTCAAGAAGGGTATTACACTTGTCCTTGGAAAAGATTTGTCTTCTTCATGCTTGGGATCTTACTGGAGAATTTAAAGAAACATAAACAAGTGAACTGGATAAAAGCCTTCTTCCAAGAGAAAATCAGAAATAATCTGTTTGGTTCCTGCCTCATCAGCTTCACTAATTCCCAGCTGTCTTGTTGCCTATAGGCATAACACCAGACTTTGTCTTGATATCGCTGTCTTAATTAGTGATCAAGGTACCTAATACATTAGTGAAGGCTGGCATGCACTCACACACCAAGAAATCATAGAATAATAGAAACGTTTTAGTTGGAAGAGAAGTTTAAGATCATAAAGTCCAACTGTTAACCCAGCATGGCCAAATCACCACTAAACCATTTCCCTCAGCACAACATCTATGCATCTTTTAAATATCTCCAGGGATGTTGTTGCCACCACTTCCCTGGGCAGCCTCTTTCAATGCTTGACAACCCTTTTGGTGAAGAGATTTTATCTAATGTCTAATCTAAACCTGCCCTGGAGCAACTTGAGGTCATTTCCTCTTGTTCTGTCACTTGTTACTTGGGAGAACACTGACCCCCTTCTCACCACAAACTCCATTCATGTAGCTGTAGAGAGTAATGTCTCCCCTGAGACTTCTTTCCTCCAGGCTAAACAACCCCAGTTCCCTCAGCTGCTGCTCAAGGGCTTCGCTGCCCTTTGCTGGACCTTCATGTGCCTTCAGTCCCATGCAGATTCACCAGACCATACCTTCTGATTACTGAGGGACTGTACTGTGCTGATACAAAAAGAGCTGAGAGCAAAATACCTATACAATGATGGGAAGCCAAACTGAAAATTATTGTCAGAAATATATATTAAAAAAAAATAAAAAAATTGAGTACTTGTCTTTACTTTGGTAGTTCTGTCATGTCCCTCACTCCTTTCTGCCTATCAGCTTTAGGACACATCCTTTATTTGAACAGCAAGAAAGACAATTTCAGCCTTTTGAGGTATTCATAGTTATTGCATTCCCTGCATGGGTGGCATTTCAAAAGGTAAATTACTATAGTTTAATAATTATTTATTAAAGAAGAATTTTTTTTTTCTAAATTCATAAAAATATTGAAAATACATGCACTGTGCATGTATATCCTCTTGAGAAGGAAAAAGGGATCAGGAAAAGAGTGTGAAACAGCTAGTTTGAAGATCTGTTACTTTTGATGATCCTTAAACCATAAAGATACCTGAAACTGCAAGTTTAAAATGTCTTAGTTGTGTAAGGCTTGCCAATGGAGCAGTTAGAGCTCTGGTAATTAGTTCTTTTACTTCTCCGAGATATCCTGAGGATGCAGCTCTTCAGGTCATGCTGCAAAGCCTACCTGAAGTTTCACAGATGGGAAACAGTTGTAAAATTTCATGGTCTGTGTGAACTGGGAGAGTCTTGCCAGTGATAGTGTACTTGTTTGATTTTGTGCCAGTCTTCACCTAGAAGGTTACTTCTGTGTAGGTGGACTTGTGATGATGGTAGTAAGACACCCTTTACTTATTCAAGTTACCTGAAATTGTGTATTTAAGAGCTGCTAACTGCAGGGCTGCTCTCCTCTTACATCTCCTTTTCTGTCTTCCATTGGTGCATGCAAAATACTATGTATTAAGAGACAGCGTTGGGATAGATGAGTATTTATAAATGCATGATGTCAGTCAAGCGTTAAAGAAAAAGAGTTTGTTCTGGGCAAGAAGGGAGCCTGAGAAGCTCTAAGCTACCTAAGGCAGCAGGACACTCCTTCACTTCACAGGTCAGTGCTTGGCTCTAACAGATTGGCCAAACTGTATAAACTCAGATGTGATTAAAGTGTTGTAATTAGCTGGCTGACATTCACATAGTCAAGAGGAAGGCAAGCAGCATTCCTTGGCACTACGTAACATGCTGGGGTAGCTGACAGTGTGTCATGCCCTATTTAAACAGGCAACCTGTCTCTTATCCTGATTTATGCTCTTCTGGGTAAACAAACAAATGATCTCTGCTTTCACACCACCTGCAGTATGTCAGCAAGTGGTACAGAAGCCCTTTCAAAGGGTTTCATCCTAAAGATTGCCTTTCTCTGTATCTCTGTTTCTTGAGTTATGGACAGTTGCTGAGGAACCCTGGCTCTCTGCCCACAGGAAATACAGCCAGTCCAGCCTGGAGCTTGCTCATGCTGTAACTTCACAATCAGTTTAGCTTGGCATGTAGCAGCTCTACTATTAAAAAAAAGGTTGTCCCTTACTGATCTCTTTAGATATACCTGGCTTCTGTTTTTGCCCATGCGCCTCTTCTCCACTCTTTTCCGTTTCTGTGGGACTATGTGATGAATAACTAAAAACTGGGGAGCAGAAACTAGCCCGAATGAAAAAATGTGGTAGAGGAACATTTATGGCAATGAAGTAAGTTAGAAAGATAGGTAAAAAAATGAGTGAGGAAAAGTGCAAAACGGAAGATGAAGAAAAGAAAAAAGTGTGATAAATGAGCTGTCAGAAGGAATAGGAGAAAGAGAAAAGAGTATTGTGAAAGCTAGGGATAGAGGAAGTGTTAAATGGATGTATTCAAAAGTCAGTGCTAAAAGCAGAGAATATGAGGTTATAGAGATGATCAGGAGATAAATCATTGACAGGAACAGATGAGAAATGGGGCAATGATAAAGTAGAATGGTTAACCTTGCTTTGCACATAGGCAGTGTAGAAAAAGGTGAAATAAAAAAAAAATCACAGTGACAATTCATAGATCATATGTCAGAGGGAAGAGAGAAGTGGTTAAAGAAATGGAATAAAAAAAAGTCAGCCTTGTATTGATAGGTGGGAATTCCTATGTTGAATAAAGTCAGACAGAATAACTAAGATGCAGCACTTTGCCTGTCCTGTTGAGCCTGGTACTAAGTTCAGTGAAATAACGAAGACTAAAGGCTGCTGGGAATATTTAGGAGGAGGAGCAAATATCAGAGTGAGAGAGAAGAGGAAGATCTGGCAGTAGTGTGAGTAGCATGATGACAGCAACGTGAAGTGAGTTTGGAACAGAATGGGAGAAAGGCAAGGACCTGGAAATGGTAAGATGCAGAGAGAGAGAAGCTTTGTTCTTTTGCATTGGTTTTATGGGAAATAAACTCAGTTGGGAAAGTTTGGGAAGGTAATGTTTACTTTGTAAGGCAGTCATTTTAGTTGCTGTTCCAGAGTAAAATCTGAATTTCACTATGATAGGCAATAGATTGGGTGAGATCCACAAGCAACCTAGAGAATATGTACCAAAGGACATCTCAGAAGTGAATTTGGAGCAATTCAGCTCAATGTGCCAGATTCTGATGAGAGATTTATTTCTGTGCTGATGTATTTAGATCTATCTTTCTTTGGACTTTCTTTGGAAGCTTCAATGAAAGGCAAATGTGTATGTCCCCATGATATCATACAGTGCATTTTTAGAAATACCCCAGCAAACATTCAGCAGGCTGATATGTCTGCCTGTTTTGATTCAGTGCTGTGTGAGACACAGGACAGTGCCCTGGAAGCAGCATAGCTACCTCAGCTTCTGTTCTAGATTTAGTTTATTCAAGCGCTAGCTGGGAGTCTCTGTACAGTGCTATATTTGTGGACATGCGATTGTGTCCGGTGTAGCTACCTGAAAGTTGTTTCATGATGTTTTCACCTCTATCCTATTTGTTAATTTCAAATGGCATATATATCTCCCATTTTTTCTTTAGTTAGCATAAAATATAAATACCTTATTCAATTATTAATTATCTGGGAATTAAAATCCATGGCTGACTAGTTTAATTTGATTTTATGAATGTTATTTGTGTTTCCCACCCTTCTTGCTGCTTCTAACAGCACCTGTTCCCATTGGGGAATTTTTCTTTTGGCAGTTATTGCTGCAAGAATGATCTCTTAGTGGTGCTAGTCCTTTACTTCTCAATTGCTTTGTATCTTTTGTCGTTTGTCTATGCAGTGTATTTTTCTTCCACCTCAATAGCTATTTAGTTCAGTCATATATTCAGCTCTTGTGTATGGAGGATGCTAATATATTTTGAGCAGCTGTTTAAAAAGTTTAAAGCTGATTTCTAGGACCGTGTTCCCATGGTCCTAGAAATTTGCCTTTGGAGCCTATATTAACTTGCATAGAGTATGGTAAGGCATGCATTAGGCTGATTTGTTGTCTCTGTCTTTGCAGCATGCTGTTGATGCTGATAATGCAGGAGTCAGTCCCATAGGAAATTCCTCTAACAACAACAGTCATTGGGACCTTGGAAGTGCCTTTTTCTTTGCTGGAACAGTCATCACAACAATAGGTATGTTTATTGTTTATCTTTTAAAATACATAGTCACGCTGAGACCTAGATATTGAAATAAATGTAAGGAAGGTAGATCCCAAAGAAATGAAGTGGCTGAACTGTATTTCTCCATTCTCAGAAGGCATGCCTCTGGTGTGTGTCAAAAGCACGGAGCCTCCACCTAAATATCAGAAGCTGTTTACATTGTTAGGGTAGAATAGCAATGCTGAACTGAAAACAAGTGTAGTTAAACCTTTATAACCCTGTTCTTGATGTAGATGCAGATGGTCTTAATTTTCACTAAAATGTTCAAAAAGCGGTACCCAATGATATAACTATCTATAGTTGTTGGGAATTTGGATTTTAGTTTTATAGATGAATATACCCATAAGGGTAACTTTCTTCCTAAGTACATAAATTAGTTTTGGCTTATGCTCTGAATTTTGTTATAAGTAATTCTTCTCACACCCTCATTGCTGATAACTATATAGTGTTTTTATAATTTTAAGCTTGATTTCAGTGTTCCCATTGTTAGAGGTCAAGAGACATGATTCTTTGGAAATTCCTGGCAAATTGTTGCCTTTTCTTTGCATTGCCTTTGAGTATTCTTCTGGTTTAAATATTGGTTAAAGAGCTTCTCCACGTTACAACTGTAATGCAAAACTGTATAGACATCACTGTATAGACAAATAATCTGATAACTGCATAACCACTCATTAACATGTAAGAATCTGAATTCTGCAAGTTCTTTATGCAGGTAATATAGCAACAACAACAACAACAAATTCTGTGGCAGTTACAAGTCTTGCTGTGGTCATCACCTCAAACAGTGGAGCCTGTGCCTTTGGCTCTGCCGTTGTTTTGTTGCCAGAGTGAAAGGGCAGTTGTATAGAGGGTATTCTTCCCTGTCTTCCTCTATATATTAAGCTACATTGCCATGTACATTTAGCAGTAGCATAGAACCAGTGGGTGGCAAGAAAGAAAACAGTTTGAATCAAATATAAGATAACTGTCCCTTAATATTTGTTTACTCAATAGACCCAAGTGAAAAGCTTTTAAATTATTCATTAAAATAAATGCCACTATGAAGGCACAGTTTATGTAGGCATATTCATTGACGTGCTATTTAAATAACTTATTAAAAAGAGCTTGGATTTTTGCCCATATTTGCTTTGAATTCTCCATGTGTGGGATTTTTATAAGCTGCATGATGTGCATGTATTGTGTCTGGGCATGCAAATTATTTTAGTTTCTCTACCCAGAGCCCTGGTAGGGCTCCTCTTAGGCACTCAGCAGACTACCTAGTCAACCTCAGTTCACTAGCCTCTTGAACCTGGATTTTCTTGGACTTTTACGAGAAATCAGGAATCATGGATACACCCATAAAAAGGACTGTGGGTTAATATTCAATATGTGTAGCCAGAATACAAAACCATAACATTTCAATAAAAACACCTGATCTCAGAAAGGTGCAAATATTGCTGCCACGATTCTCATTTTTTCTCTTTAACATTAAAATTTTAACAGAAATACCATGGTTACTGGAATCACAGTGCTCTGTGTAGATTCCTAAGGTTAAATTCATATGGACGGTGCAGGGAAGGGAAGAAATTCCTGAAAAAAAATATGGTGACTACATGTAGTTTACAGCATGGGACCCGTGGATAGCTGTATTTCTGCCACTATCAGATCTCCCCGATATTTCATCTGGAGTTATAAGACTGGGAGTTGAACCAAAAATGTCCAAAAATGCTTGGGCCAAAATAAGTGATTTCATTTGTGATATGCAGCTGGATAATTATGTCTTGGTCAGAATCTGTCATCTTTTCAACAGCACCAGGTTACTCAAACAGAGGATAGAAGGCAGGCACATATGCACCTTTATTACAGTGTCAACAATGATTTTTAAATATAAATGGAGTAGGATCTTCAGAGGGAAGGCTCAAAAACTCCTTTGTTAAAATCTATTTAAAAACCACATGAAATACAAACGTTAGTCTCTTTATTGTCAAATTGAAAGGAGAACTGAATAAAGAGTTCAAGAGGAGATTCACATAGTGTGGGTACAGCTTGGAGGCTTCAGTCTAGCTAGTTAGTGTGATGTGTGGCTGAGGAAATAATGAGCTAACCACTGAAAGTGAGCCTTGTCAGGTGAGTCACACTCCCACCAGGAAGCCACTGGCACAGCCCAAGAGAAGCAGCAGCGTGCAGGCACCAAGCCAGCACAGAGGGTTTTTTGTGCCATGACAAGTCAAGACACATTAATTAACCAAATAACAACTTTAGACGGGACCTGAATGTATATTAAATATGGGTAACTGAGGCTTCAAGAAGAACTAAATCATAGGCAGTAGCTCACCTGGGAAATGACATCATGCTATGGAAAGTCTAAATAGGAATTACAGGTGGAACAAAGGTATGCCTGAAGGAACAGAAGTTTTTCTAAAAACAATATTTTTTCTAAAAAGCCGTGTATAAGTCCTGAGAGTCTGACAATTGTTTTTCTCCTCAGGGTACGGTAAAATTGCTCCAAGCACTGTTGGAGGCAAGGTTTTCTGCATCTTGTATGCCATCTTTGGGATTCCACTCTTTGGCTTCTTGCTGGCTGGGATTGGAGACCAACTTGGAACCATCTTTGGGAAGGGTATTGCAAGGGTGGAAAAAGTTTTCAGAGTAAGTTCACTGTCAGTGTTTTGCTTGTGTTGTATAACTTGCTTTTAATTCTGTTGCTGTTACCTGCGGTCTTTTTTAGATGTTGGGCATCACGAAGAAATTACTTGTCTAGCTGAGATAATGCTTAACATTCTCAGGGGCTTCTGTGGTCAGTGGCGAGAAACATGCTTCTCCAGATGGTGATGCAGGTGTTATAGAGAAAGCTCTGAATTTCTTGAGGCTATATCTGACAAATATATTTTCTAAGCTAGGAAAGCTTTTCTGAAGTGCTGGGGTCTGAATCCTGAACCCTGAATTAAAGTTGACATATGGATGATTCTCCCTACTAGACAGAGGATTTTTCTCTCTGTTGGGAAACTAGCTGGGTGTCTGTTCCATAGACACTCAGGTGTCCTGAGAAATGCGTGATTAAAACCAAAACAGCGGAAGTAGCATTCCTTTTGGTTTTCTCTCAAAGCTTGGCTGACCTTGGATGAAAACCAATGCGGAGGACAACACCAGGTGTCCCACTTTTGAAGTTATTTTTGAAGGTCGCTTATGCAACTGGGAGTTCTTTTTTTCAACAGTATAAGAGCTGGCCCCGCTCGCAGTGGGTGGGGGAAGCCTGCCTATGGGTGGACACACCATGTAGGGTTTCCCCATTACCATTTTTCTTTTGTCATTTGGTGGACAGGGTTATACACAGTTTCCTTCAATATTGCTAAGAATCGGGCATGTGAAATATTCCTGATATAGTCTGCAATTTACATCCATCTTAGTAACTACTCTTAATATCAATGGTTTCAATTCATACAGTTATTTTAATATTTCACATATATATGATCATCAATATATTATACATATGTACTTTATATTGCTAGCTAATGCAGAATATAACAATCATTATAATTTTAGTAATTATTTAATTTATTATCATTCTATGTTTACATTGTTAGGCTCCATAAATATTGGACCTAATCAGATGAATCCACAAGTAGAGTAACAGTCCTTGATTTAATCCTGAGCAGTGAAAAAAATTTAGTTCAATGTGTAACTATTTTTTCTTTCTTCGTAAGTGTCTCCATAATGAACTCATTTAGCATGTTTGTCAGCGTGAAGCCACCTGCTACAACCTTTAAAGAGAGGACATAAAAATTAGGAGAATAGCTATGAAAAAACTAAAAGCAACAAACATAGGCTAAAAAGACACTAAAAAGCATACTAAGATGTTGGGTGGTGTTCCTCACAAATATTTTGAAGCCAGTAGAAGGGTTGCTGAGAGCGTATCAATGATCTAGTGATATAACATACTAAATTTCCAGAAAGATTTTGACACATTTTCTCATCTAAGGCTATAAGGAATGAAGCTGTGATTGGGTAAAAGAGACAGTCTCACACCTCAGTACATGTTAAAAGGATAAATGGAGATTAGGAATGGACAGCAGTATTATCAGTGTGATTTTACGGGTGTCCTTGCGGGGATCTTATTGTTTTAACAGAGGTGGCCTGGAACGGTTCAGGGAAGAAGATGAATATACAGGTGACAGTGTCTGCAAATTATGTCTTTAGATCTTTCCAAATAGCTAAAATGGAAGCTGCAGAAGGATGATAAGATAATAATGGAGACGAGTGCTGGCGATAGAAAATAATGCATATTTCTTAAGTTTGAGGAAAGAAATCCTAATATATTTATACAGGGATAGAATCAATTTTCACTACTCTAAGAAGGACCTGGGATTACTGTGGATGGTTGTCTGAACATAACACTGCAAAATTTAGCAGCAGTTAAAAAGGGAAAAAATGGAGTTGAAAACCAAAAGACCATTTTGCCATGATGTTACATGACTCGTGTCAGGGCAGCAAAGACTTCCTGAGATCCTTGCAACCTTGCCATCATCTGTTCAGGTGGTTGGGATTTGAATGCAACTTGATCTCATATTGTGGTTAGGATAATTTCTGAAACTAGGTAAGAGGATGCATAAACTGTCAGGTGAGAAGGAGAAGAAGGTTTCTCTGTCATTACAGCAGTCTTTTCACCCAACGCATTTTCTTAACAGGTCTCTTGTTCAACTCAGAAGTGTAACTGTGAGGTTGATCCCACAACATGGAAGGGACAGCTTGCCCCTGGCATGTTCTGGCACAGATGGAAAGATGAAAGATTCCTCCTAGAGGAGTTGTGCTAATGCACTTTTGTTGCCTCTGACATCACCTGTGTGGACATGACCCCACCAAACCTACATTAATTAGAAGCACAAATTAGAGCCTAAGAATGCTACATTTAGCCATTGCAGTGACCAGCCCATGCTCTCTGTGGAAATTTTAAGAACAATTTGAACTCCATAAAGGGGGAAAGAGATCTGCTTTTATCAAAGACACACTACCTCCACAGTATTGACAGAATATTTCAGCAGAAGAGCTGGACACATGCCACTGCTCATCTTCTATCCAAAATGTTGCCATTGTTTCAGTGTGTAGATACCCAGAAAAACAACTATTAATTTGTGACTAGGTAGGTCTGGAAGTATTTAATTGCAAAATAAAGCTTTGCAAAACCAGGAACTTTTTGTGTACCATTTTAGGCAAGGGAGGCACTGGCAATGATGCTGCCTGGGATACAAGGAGGTATCCTAAACACCACACATTGGCTAGTCTAAGCCATCTCTCCTGCTGGAGTAACCATGTTTGGTACAAGTAAATAAACATCAACGAGGTCAGAGAGGTAAACCAAAGCATCCCCCACGATGATCTTATGTGCTCAGCTGCTGATTATTCTTCTGTGTCCCATCTTCAAGAATATAGGGAAGAATCTGGCTACTGCTCTGTTCTCACATGCATACAAGTGTGATTCCCCAGAAGATGGATATGTACAAGATCACAAGGTTCGCTGTGCACACGTGAATCTTGTCACAAGCGTTCAGTATCTGGGTTCAGTGATGAATCACTTCTCCCAGCTCATCTGAGAAAACCATGTACAGACTCAAAATCTAATTAAAATGTTGATAATACTTAAGTGTAATTTTCACCTGGCAAAGCCTTCCAGACACTACAGAAATGAAATATGTATCCCAGGGTGACATAAAACCATAAAAGTAGTATTGTTTTCTTACATATGTGAGTGATCGTATGAGCAACTTGAGACTGTTTCTATAATAAACAGCAGAGCAAACCCCGTTCTTCTAGCTTGCTCTGTACACACAGACACTGCAAGCATCTAAAGATAGAAAGGAAGGCATTCCATAGGCAGAGTGTGCAGTTACAGCAGCAGCTGTCATTATCATGAGTTAAATATAGGCTAAATTCAGATAGTCTTCATTCAAACCTTGTAATGAGTGTTTAGAATCTCACTGGAAGCAGAGAGGATGAGCATAACCTGACAGTTCTTCCCTCCTCTTGCAGTGCAGTACAGATGCAGACATTCAGTCTGGACACAATGTGCTTCTGAGATCATTCCAGGAGTTTATGGCTTCTAAGGTGAAGTCACTATGAACAGTTCCTGAGCTTGGTTACTGCTTTCAATCTTCTGGCTTACAGCATGATGCTGAGGACAGGTCTGGCAATGCAGCTTGTAGGGTGTGAATTGCGATCCAGGGATGTGAGCGAGCAGCCTGAGACAGGGATGGTGGCAAGTCTGCACCCTTGAACTTCAGTATCTCCAAAAACCACACTACTTTGTGCAGAAACAGAATGCCTCTGTAAACAACTCACACTTCACTGAACCAGGGACTTGTCAGCACAGACGCATCGGCTACCTAACTTGCAGGTTTTCAGCTTAGAGAACCTGTTTGCCCACTGATCTCTTGAAAAATGGTTTGTTCTAGATTTAAGGGGCGTGTGATGAAAATGATACACATTTTTTTTTTCTTTTTTTTTTTTTCTGAAAGACAGCAGTAGGAATTAGATTAATCTTGAAACAATCCTAGGAAAAGTAGTTCTTAGTTGGAAGATAGGGCTGGGGTGGGGGCAGGAGTAAGAGAAGTCCCACTGAGCTGGTGGAAAGCTTTCTTTAAGCAACTGCCAAAATTTTACCTCTCTCTCCCTTTGCTCTCTTTCCTCTTTTTCTTTCTCTTGGTTCACATCAAACCTGTAGCGTTATACCTGACAGCAGTGCAGAACTCATGAGTGAATTCTCAGCAAGGTTTGTTGTTCACAGAATTTGTTTGGGGTTTCCTTGAAATACCACCTTTATCCCTTCTTCCCTAGG